AGCAGCATAGTAATTAATTCATTCATTTAAAAAATAGTCTAGATTTGCAAATATGATTTCTGATTCTCTTTGGGTCTTTTCTCAAAACCTGTTTTGTCAGGAAAGCCTTTGCACAGTCCTTGTGGATCAACCTAGCCTGCACCACCCCTGGGCACTCCTACCTACCGTAAGTCTCTAAGACAATCTACAGATACGAAATGGGGGAGGGGTGAAGACCAGTTTAATTTATTAGAATCACCGAGTAGAGTTGGGAAGGAGCAATAGCTAGAGCAAAATAGGCATATTTCTCTTATTTCAAAAGCCAGAATGTCACTTTATCAACATGAGGCCTACCAAGCTGAGAAAGGGTGAAATGACAAAGATCGTAACTTCTGCAGAAAACACAGATCATTAACACAGATATCTGGGGACAGTTGCACTAGAAGTGCTAATCAGAGAGCTGATTAGCAGTGAAGTGCTAGTCAGGGTAAGATCAAAATATATGATGTTGAAGTTTCTTAAGAAGCCAAAGGAAAACAGGGGGAAAAACAGTAGCCTGAGAGCCTCCCAATTGCACAAGTAATGGTGAGGGGGAGAGATACTTTTTCTACTATCTCACAACTTTTGCGACTTTCCAAGGCTTTATCTACTATGTTTCTTTCTTAAATGTAACCTCCACTAGGGAGCCAGTGCACATTTCTATTGCTTATCCCACAAATAATCTTTCAAAACTCAGTATCATGGCTGATGGCTGTTATCCCAGTCAAAGATGGGCGAATGCAGCCTCACCTTAGAGCACAAGGTGGAGGTGTGTGTTGTTGTTTTTTTAAGGCTCAAGAAAAGGCCATGTGCCATTATGAATTAAAGGGGAGTTTTCAGATTCTAAAGAATCAGTCAAGCTAGGAAGCTGGATTGTGTCCCAGTCAATGGGCAAGGTCCAAAAAGCAGCACGGTTTTTCAGCATGCAACAGGATTAGAAGCTAATAATCCAGCATGTTACACAACTCAGAGCAGATGGATTTACAAAGGGAGCCAGTAGTCTCTCTCAAAGGACCACACTTTCAGGTTTCTCTGTAAGCATCAGAATGGTTAGTGCAATTGCCAAACAACTGCAGGGTACATGCAGCACCGCTCAGTCTCCCTGCTGTGAGACGATAATAGTATTTATAAAACATCAACACTTCACTTATCATGTAAACTTACACATATAAGGCTACCTATAGCAGAGAAAGGTCAAGCTTGTTTTCTCCTGCTCTGGAGGGTAGGACCTGAACCAATGGCGTCAAGTTACAAAAAAAGAGATTCCGACTGAACATCAGGAAGAACGTTCTGTCAGTAAGAGCTGTTTAACAGTGGAATGGGCTCCTGATTGGAGGTTTTCAAGCAGTGGCTGGATGGCCATCTGTCATGGATGCTTTAGTTTGGTTTCCTGCATTGCAGAGGGGTGGATTAGATGACCCTCCGTATGCCTTCTAGCTCTGCAATTTTATGATTCTATTATTTGCTGTGTTTTATACTATTAATTTGCAAGCTGGTTAAATCTCATTTTATCATAGAAAGGTGAGGCATAAATGCTCATACAAGTCACGCACACACACACACACACACCCTTAACTGCAAGGCAATAATACTGTACTGGCTATTCATTGCCTATCTAGAGTACTGTCTCTGCTATGTAAATGAGTTAGGAAATTTGAACGTTGCCCATAATATTTGAACATCCAGAAAAATGTAGACAGATCATAGAACTTAAAGAATTGCAGGGTCAAGTCCAAGCGTCCTTTGACAAACATGGGGGGTGGGATATCAGCCGGAGAACATTTTAAGTACAAAAAATAGCATGGGGGAAACGGATTTTAAAAACCCTTGTAGAACACCATAGTCATAAACTGAATTGGGTCCCTTGCAGCTGTTTTGATCTCTCTTTTAAAAAATCTGGTAGATTAAATTCCTACATGAATGAGGCTGTGTTGAATATGTAAAGGCAAGATGCAACTCTACAGGACATTTGTGTTTTCCTAACCTGTATTTTGTTATGAATCTGAATGACCATTATAAACTGTGACCCAAAGCTACAAAAAAACTACAACCAGCCCTGTTGGTTTCAATATGCTGCTTGTGGTGCGTAAAGCCCTAAATACCTAGGAAACCAGTTTCCTTCCCCTATCATACCCCACTCGGTCTTTAAGATTAATCATGTGGAACCTCCTTAGAATAATATCCATGTGCCTATGTGTAAAATCAGCTAGCAGAGGACATACAGATGTTGTTTTAAGTGGCTGTCCTACAACAATGGAATTTCCTCTCCCTGGAGCATTTTCCAGCAATGTTGCAAAATCCCTTTTTCATTTGAGCTAGTCTTGGAGAGTTGGATTAGAGTTGGAGTAGAGATCTGTTTTAGCTGAACTGCACATATATCAATGCTGTTTCATGTACACACTGAAGCAAAGCATATTGTTTTACACCTTTTTTCCCCAGGCAAATTAGGGACAATCTAGCCATTCACCACATCACTGGAGCAAACTGAGTAGGATATCATGTGGCCACATAATCAGGGGTGTCACACTGAATTTGGAACTTTAAATAATTAAAAATAGGCCACTAATACTAAGGGGAAAATATGGACCCCTTATTATCCTACCCATGGCACTGAGTTTCCAGACTGGGTAAAATAAACAAAATTACTATGCATTATATTTTGCTGGCACCAAACATCAGTTCCATCTGCACTATGTATTTCAAGCAATATCACACCACTTTAAACATTCATGGCTTGCCCCAAAGATTCCTGGGAGATGTAGTTTGTTAAGAGTGCTGAGAATTGTTAGGAGACACCTAGTCTCCTCTGAGAACTTTAATTCCCAGAGTTCCCTATGAAGAGGGCTTGATTGTTAAGCCACTCTGAGAATTGTAGCTCTGTGAGGGGAACAGTAGGTCTCCTTAAAAACTCCTAATAAATCTTTGGAGGAAGCCATGTTTGTTTAAAATGGTATGATACTGCTTTAAATGTACAGTGCAGAGGGGCACCATCCCCTTGTGTTTTCTCCCTTAAAGACTACTGGCTGGTTTACCTTTGTTGCCTTCATAAACTCTTCTCCCATACGCAAACATTCATTTCTGGAACTGAAAGCAAAAGCATTGGAAGGAGGACAGATTTGGACTTAATGTGGTCAAACTCTGTCCAGAACAGAAGTTACCATGTTTTATGGACAGAACTCACAAAATAGAGTCATAGAATCACTGACCTGGAACAGAGCCTGTAGACTACCTAGAACAATCCTCAGTTTGATGCAGGAAATCTAGGGTTAGATCATTGGCAACACAAGCAGTCCAGCAAGGCAGAACCCATCAGCCCCTTGGTCATTAATACATTGGCTTAATTGCTCTTGCTGTCAATACGTTTCTCCTAATGTTCAACCCAAATCTACCCTCATGTAACTTTAGCCTATTGTAACTATTTCCCTTCTCGTTTGTTACAAACCACAAAAATGATAAACATTGATGCTACTAAACTGAACATAGTAGCACCTACAGCATTCTTTTCATCACAGCTCTCAGATGTGGTCCACTAATATCATGGAATCACAGAATCTTAGAGTTGGAAGGGACCCAAGAGTCATCTAGTCCAACCCCCTGCAATGCAGGAATCTCAGCTAAAGCATCCATGACAGATGGCTATCCAACCTCTGTTTAAAAACCTCCAGGGAAGGAGAGTCCACCACCTCTCATGAGAGTCTGTTCCACTGCTGAACAGCTCTTACTGTCAGAAAGTCGGTGCATTTATGCTTAGAGTAAAATACATTGGGCAAACTGTTCTGCACTGCTGTTACTCACCTGAAAGCTCACCATGCTAGTCATTAAGGGATGGATTAAGGTCCATTGATTCCAGTGGGTCTGCTCTGAGCATGACCAGGATTGGATACTGCCCATTATTATTTGAGTTATGTTCTACTCTTATTTCAAGGTGTTCAGGATAGCTTACCAAGGTGATATTTTTATGCTGGAGAACTTAAAATCCTATGAGACTAATAGCAAAAGTTTTACTTCATTTAATTTTGCTACAGTTCATCAGTTCAAATTTTATTTCTATGGTGCAACCATAAAATAATGTGTGCACTTCTGGTTGCCACGTTTTAGCAAGTTTATTAGAGAGCAGGAAAGGTTCAGAAAAGGGCAAACTAAATAAGCAAGGGGCTAGAGCAGATCCCCTATGAGGAAAAGTGTGTGTGTGTGTGTGTGTGTGTGTGTGTGTGTGTGTTAAAAAGGCAAACAAGGGACGTCATTGTAGAGATGCATAAAATTATGTAGCATGGAGAAAGTGCATAGAATCATAAAATCTTGAGTTGGAAATGACCCAAGGGTCATCTAGTCCAACGCCCTGCAATGCAGGAATCTCAGCTAAAGCATCCATGACAGGTGGTCATCCAAGACAAAAGCTTTCCTCCCTCTCCCATAATACCAGAATTGGAAGTTATTCAATGGAGCTGAATGTTTGAAGATTTGGGACAGGTAAAAGAAATCATGTCTTCATGCAACACATAGTTAAAGTATGGAATTTGCCCCCACCAGATGTAGTGATGGCCACCAACTTGGATAACTTTAAGAGAGGGAGAGACAAATTCATGGAGGATAAGGCTACAAGAGATGATGGTGGCATGCCTCCAAATACCAGTTGCTGTGGAATATGAGTGAGGAGAAAGCTACTGTGCTCACGTTCTGCTTGTGGGCTTCCCATAGGCATCTAGTTAGCCACTATGGGAAACAGGATGCCAGACTAGATGGGCCATTAGTCCATGAGGACTCTTCCAATGTTCTTATTATCACATATCTCAAAGAGCCGAAGAGAGCATGCATGTGAGTTCACCCACCTTTATCCTCACAACAACCCAAGGTCATTCACTACAACTAAGCAGGGATTTCAACCCCAATCTTGCTTGTCCACATCCACTTGCTTATATGCTCCCTTATATGCTCAGATCTTCAGTGGAACCACTCAGGAAACTGGCAAGCACATGACACTTGTTAGCTCAGTTGGTTAGAGCATGGTGCTGATACCACCAAGGTCACAGGTTTGATCTCCATCTGGGGAAGCTGCATATTCCTGAATTACAGGGGGTTGGACTAAATGACCCTTAGGTCCCTTCCAACTCTACAATTCTATGATTCTATGATGAATTTCAAGATCAAACTGCAGAATACCCTCATGTGGTTCTGGATTTTAAGATGAATAGGACTTCTCAAAAATAAACACATTACACACTTAGGTAAAGACGGTATGCTTCTAGAGAAATTGTGACATATGATAAACTACCTCAGTCCAGCACATAAAGACCAACAACAACAACTTTCCTATTTATATGCTGCCCATCTGACTGAGTCACCCCAGTCACTCTGGGCTGCTTCCAACAAAATGTTAAAGCACAGGAAAAACCTCAAACATTAAAAACCCTCCCTTGACATACTTACCTCTTCAGTGTCTTAATACTTCAGTAACAGGCCCCTCTTCATGTTTCCTTCACAATGGAGTTTTACTGGGAACAGGACTTTATTTACACACAGTTGAGCTGCACCTCCTATTTATGCCATGTGTTCCCTCTCTTTCCCTCCGCCCCACCTCTCGGATAGTAACAAAGCATCTCTAATTCTTAGCCTTATTGTCTGAGTAAAGGATTTGGGGCAGGATAGTTTACAGTACACCTAATGGCATGTAACAGTTTCAACAAGCTGGAAGGTTGCATTCCTCCCCATTCACTCCCACCAAACAGTGAGGTTTTTATGTTGCTAGACAGTAGTGCATTTAGTCTTCTGTGTATTGTAGCTCAGCCCAGTAGCTTGCCAGCCCAGTAATTTAAACTGTCTGCTGATGTTTGTCAGTAATCGCCAGGGGTAAGCAAGAGAGGTCAGGTGACCATTTGCTATCATGCAGCCAAGTTGGGTTGTGGTGGTTGTTTTTTGTTGGCACTAATTTGCAAGATTTTTTTTTTTAAAAAAAATAATCATATCAACTGTGGATTAAAGCCAGATACGGGTGGAAGAAACTGGTTTGTTCAAGGACTTGGTAACAGCAGATAATGTGCAAATTATCTTTTCAATTTAGTCCTACGTATGCAGTGACCAGTGACGTAGGTTTGGTACCTTACATCACACTCCTATGTAATCCTATACCTACTTACCTGGGAGTAAGTCCCATTGCTGTGAATCCAGTTGAACTTACTTTTAAATAGACATGAACAGTATTTCACTATTTATCACCCCCAATGCTAAGTAACTACCTCTTGCTCAGGCACTTTCTCGTTGTATTGAAGGTGAATCTTACAAAACCAATCATAATGCACAAACTACAACAAGCTGAATGTTATGTTATCCATCACCCGCTAATCTGAACTGCAATGAATGTTAACATTTAAATAGCACTTTTGAGTGTTCAAAGCTTTTCCTATACATTGTGATCCTTCAAACAATGCTGTAAACTGGCCCGGTATTGTTATCTCTATACCGCAAACAGGAAAGGGGAGGGATGAAGCTGAGGTGGCATTTTTAATGCCAGCTGTGTCCCTCATGACAGATTTCAGCCAGAGACTTCCTACTTCACATTCTTAGCCACTACGCAGCCCTGGCCTCCACCATTTGTCAAACTATAAAAGCACAAGTCGTATCAATCAGGGTGGGGTAGACAGCATCCACTTCCTCAACCAAGGGAGGATGTGGTATTGGCATAAACTATCAACTAATCTGGGTTACATTTGTCCATAAATTGGAGTATTAGACCAGCAGCAGTGGAACATTACAGGTTTAGGCCACACCTGCACTATATATTTAAAGCATAATATTAAAAGGCATGGCTTCCCCCCCAAAGAATCCTGGGAACTGAAGTTTGTTAAAGGTGTCGAGTGTTGAAACTATATCTCCCTGGATTCTTTGGATTCATGAATCTTTAAAGTGATATGATCCCACCTTAAATGTGCAGTGAAATGGGCCCTTAGTCAATTCTGTGTTGATCACAGAAGCATTTTCCAGGTTATCCCACTAGAAAGACCATAGCTGAAAAACAGAGTGCATGGTTTGCATGCCTATTGGGTCGCAGATTCAAATGCTGGCACTTCCAGTTTTTTGTTTGTTGTTTTTTTAAAGACCTAATAGCAGGTGAAAGCAAATATTTCTGGCAGAAAGCCAGATTAGGCAATACTGGGCTAAATGGGGGCAGATTGCATAGCCTAGCATTAGTTAGCATCCTACGTTATGGGGGCGGGAGGGAATGTACACCCCAAAACAAGGACCATATAATAAATAGCTTTTAAGGGTCAAACTTTTGGAATGCAATTCATAATATTTGAGGCTGCAAGATTCCTTGTGGACTAGAATCCCATTACTTTAAGAAGTAGAACACTATTGCACCTGCCAGAGCTATCCTTCCTCTGAACCATTTATTGTGATTAAGCGAGTGGAGACTGGCTGCGTGCCTTTTAAAAGTACTGCTGTGGTGATTCCCTACAATGAACCCAGCTCACAGTAGTGAGCAACAGCTGCAACTATATCATTCTGCCTGGCCCGTGGCCCGAACTGAGCCTCCCAGCAATCTTTGCTTTTCATCGTCTGCCTTGAACGTATCTCTAATCAGTCTCTAAACTGTCAAAGAGGGAAAGTTTACATAATTTAAGATTGCTTTAATAACTGTAAATATGGTGCATGCACTTTTGAGGCCACGGTACAGTCCTGTCAAGGTTGTGTGTCAAGCAGACGCTAGACTGGCCAGCCCTAGTTATATGCCACTGGAGGAAAACAAGAAGAGATCCTTTTCAGAAAGTGACTAAAAGCTGCAGAGCAGCACAGCAGCAACCACACTAATTAAACAGAGGGGGGTACCAGCTGCAAGTGCAGAGAATCTTTGGCTTGCACAGTAACAACGCTGGAGAGCATCCATTTTGGAAAGAAATGAGCAGAGAGGGATCAGAAGCCAAAGTGAAGTTCAGCCGGGTCTAACATAAGTTTCTGCTATCCCTGCTAGTTCTCATTAACACAGAAAAGGCATTAGAAAAGAGCAAAACTCTTCTGACTCTTTGTCTCCCTCCTGGTTTGGTTCACAGCGTTGATGGATTTCTTTTCAAACAGAAATGAGGAAAAATCACACATTTTGCAGTTCTATGCCGCAACTTGCCAAGAAGGTTGCTGGAAATGAGAGAGACGTGGGGATCCGATATTCATAAAACAGTACTTACATTGTGCTCACACAATGTATATAGGTTAGCTAATGTAATTATTGTTGTAAGGAGATTTGAATCTCCACACAAACGGAGGCTTACGCAGGCAGGATAACATTGCCAACAGCTCCTAATGATGAACAAACCAAGGTGTTGCTTCTAAGAGCAAGTTACGCATCTAGGCAATGTGTACACATCACCTTGGATTCAGTCCAAAAATTTAGATGCAACCCCAGTTATAACTTTCACATGAGGTACTTTGATGCAAATAACATCATGGCGTCTCGGGCGGTCAATGGCTACTAGCCATAATGGCTATGTTTATTTACTGTAAATCTGAGCCATAGGTAGCTGAGCACACAGGAAGCAGTATGCCCAGGCAGGGTGTGGAGTAACAGAGGCAGATCCATTGGAGGTCAAAGCCTGAGTGAAGAAAACCAATAGATGGAGAGTGGAATGATGGCCCAGGAAAGCTGACTAACGAGAAGAACAGGCAGTTTGATAAGCTGAGGCACACAGAACAAGAGAGAGGATTGTTGCAGCTCAGTGGTAGAGCATAGGCAGCAGGGCCCTGGTTCAATCCCAAACATCTCAGCAGGGACTGCATCACATTTATTCTTTCCAGGACCGAATAAAATGTTGGTGTCCAATAATTCTTAAACGATAACAGCACAAGATGTTTTTAGTTGGTGGCTTTTATTAATTTTATTGGAGCTTTTCTGTATGTTCCAAGTGATTCTGGAACTTGTGGCCTTCCAGATGTTGTTACACTCTAATCCCTATCAACCCCATTTGTCAGATATGATGGGAGTTGTAGTCTAATGGCATCTAAAGGGCCGAAGGTTTCCGATCTCTTTACTAGACCTCGCTAAGCTGCTGCCAGACAGAAAAGACAGCACCAGACCGCATGGGCCATTTGGCTGGCTCAATATAAGGCAGCCCCTTATGCTATATTAAGTTATCAGAGACCCTGTGGGGTAGGCAGAGGGAAATGGAAGATGAGAATCTCAAAACGTTAGACTTTCTTAGCGAACAGAATTAAAGCCAGACTTTTATTTATTTCTAGCAGTTGTAATAGTTTTCTGCCAAAAAGCACCAAAAGCATACTATGACACTGTCATAAACTATAATGCTACAGAAACGCAGAAACACAAACCCATATAAATAATACTAGAAATGTTAGGAAAGAATAATACTGGGAGTACAAAACAGCAGATGCAAACATCAGTAACTGAAAACCTGCTGAAATAGAGGCACATTTTCTAATTTTCTTAAATTTAAAGTGGCTCCTCTTAGGTGGGGCTCCTTAGGAACAGGAAGCAACTACTTCCTTCGAAGAAGCCCTATGAAGCAACCCCCCCCCCGATCTTCATTAAGGAGGTGGGAGGGTTCCAATGGAAAAAGGAGGTCCCAAAGGGTAAAAAAAAAGTTATTCCATTGGCCCCTGAAGGGGGGCCTAGTACCAAAGTAAGATACAAGACAATCAGGGACATGTCTCCATTAGTTAAAAATGCATACAAAAATATGTTTATTAGGAGGAATGCACATTAAAATGCTGACAAATTTTCATGAGGGTTTAAAAAAATGTGGAAATGTTGAGGACTGAATTTAATACTAGGAAAATGAGAACTTTAGAGAACTGAAATTGACATTTTTTTCCATCCCTACTGTCAGGGAACTGCCATCAGAGCTGGAGGGAGAGAGCAAGCTCCAGAGGGATCCCAGAGAGCGTCCCGGGATTGAAAGGCAGCCCATCTTCTGGGGAAGGGAATCAGCTTAGCTCCAGTGGAGAAGGGGGGCAGATGGGGGAATCTGAGAGGGGGTCACATGACTCCTTGCCAGGGACCAGCGGGGGGAGGAAGGGTCCTCCGCTGCCTACACCCTCCTTGCGCAGA